AACGCGGAGACCAGCGGCAAATGATTCTCCGATGAATCCCATGGGCAAACTTGTCAACCTTACGCTAAACAGTTGTGACGTTCTACTGGGATTTTATGTCGCAACCTGTAAAAAAAAGCACGGTGATTCTGTATGCGGAAACTTACAGCACCAATGTTTGAGAGCGAAAGTACCGAATGGCAATGGACCGAAACAATGGTGGCTAGGTGAGCGAGATGTTTGTAGAGCCGTTTTTCTTTGTGGAACTAACAGGAACACGAATTGAAACCAGACCAATAAAATCACTACAAAGTGATCTCTGGATCAGCCAGTCACATCGAGAGATGTTAAATACTCTTTTGGAAAGCCATGTGAACGCCCGACCGCGCACTGATAATGTCCTCTTGATTGTCACGAAATGTTTAAAAGCAGATTCCTATGGTCGGTGACCTTATGTGCAAGCTACTGATTGTAGCCAATCTGGCTGATCAGTAGTATGAAGCTAAATAAAACAGAAATGACGCATCCATCAGTTCGATTACTTAGGGCTATCCGGCAAGCATACGGCTCCATGTTGTGAGTCTTCAGCGTACCGAATTCGAAAACTGACTCGAACTGAACTTGAAAAGGGCTTATAGTTTGATTATATTTTATTGTTTTCGGGTGAACCGAGTCGCCCTCGGTCCTTCAGACTCAGCCGGACAAGACAAGTGCGAATGCACGCTATGCCCAAACAGTCATTCATTCAACTTTATATTTCACATGTTTAATTAGGTTTCGTACACTGGCGGTCGGACATTGGCTGGTATCAGTCACGTTAAGGCTGAATAATTGAACTTGATACTTGGACTTCCGGCTAGGCTGAAGAAACATTAAAGCAAAGGCAATCAGTATGTGACCACGTGACCTAGTCTCCCTGAATAAGCGAGGCGCGGCGCTATATTCTGCTGAGTGAGAATCACGTTCATAGCTGAACTGTTATCTGTACGAAAACGGCTAGTCGGGAGGTCACGATTTCAAAACTTCCTACTGGAGTTTCTTGGGATGCACATTGTAGATGATCTTCAATAAAGATAGAACCGTTTTGTAGTGCTTCTTGTTTTTTTCCAGTGTAAACTGCCTTCAGCCACAGACAGAAACATTCAGCAGGGTTACCTGTAATCACTTTGTCTTATCGCACACACCTTTCCTCCGCAAATTTTTCTTAATTAGTTTCTCTCTGAGCATGTCTGCCTAAACCATAAGACGCATTAGTCGCTCACCATGTCCGGGTTCGTTTTTCGATAACCCTTCATCTTAGATAACTCCTACATGCAACGGCTTACTTGATCGTTCTGAGCTTTAGGAACCCTTCAGTCTTTTGCAAATCAAACTTCTGTCACTGACGGATCCTCAAGACAACTGTTTCCATCCGATTATCCAATGTCCGCTTAAAAAACGTCTTCGAAACTGAAGTATTAATCACAAAATTGTATAAAATGTCCTGCTCTGTGTCAGATAGATTTTAGTGGAATATCATCCCGAGAGATCGAAGAAATGATTGATTGATTGATCGATCGATCGATTGATTGATTGATTGAACGATTGATTGATTGATTGAACGATTGATTGATTGATTGAACGATTGATTGATTGATTGAACGATTGATTGATTGATTGAACGATTGATTGATTGATTGAACGATTGATTGATTGATTGAACGATTGATTGATTGATTGAACGATTGATTGATTGATTGAACGATTGATTGATTGATTGAACGATTGATTGATTGATTGAACGATTGATTGATTGATTGAACGATTGATTGATTGATTGAACGATTGATTGATTGATTGAACGATTGATTGATTGATTGAACGATTGATTGATTGATTGAACGATTGATTGATTGATTGAACGATTGATTGATTGATTGAACGATTGATTGATTGATTGAACGATTGATTGATTGATTGAACGATTGATTGATTGATTGAACGATTGATTGATTGATTGAACGATTGATTGATTGATTGAACGATTGATTGATTGATTGATTGATTGAGGAATACTGGCATAGTGCTGAGCAAGCGGCAGAAAACCTTTGGTTTGGTTTACATACATGACCATGTTTTGGAACGATCTAACATCCGACGACCCATCAAGTTCAGCAAGCTGGAACTATGTACCTGCTAGGTAGTTGACTTTCCCATGAAAATGCAACAAGATAAAATTATCAGTCTTCTTGGAGAATTATTCACCACATGAGTTTGTTTTTATTCGCAGCAAGACCTCGGCCTAGATGTTACAACCTGGCCTAATGATGATTGCTAGTTAATAAATGGTTAGGCAGCTCCAGATGACTCAGTGATTACCGTGTGACTTTGCTGATCGGAGGTTCTGTCGTTCGAAGCCGACCTTTGCAGTTCGACTGTTGCTATCTAGGCTTGAGAAACCTGGTTGTGGCTAATCCGTCGTCCTTCGTTCAGGTGATATGAAAGCTAGGTCAAGTGACGCAAATGGCCGTGCATCCACACACAAAGTACGGAGCATAACGACACAACTCATTCAACGCTAAACTTGGAGAAATGGTTCAATCACAAATTCTTAATTTTCCAGGTTTTATTAGCCAAGTTGAGCTAACCCAAAGTATCTATATTAAATCACAGGGCAGATATAGATCTGTGCGAAAATCGCTGACCATCGCATATCGAGTCGCTTGTAGCTGAGGTTCAATGTCGAGTGCGCACCAAAAGTCACACAACCGGAAATCTAATCCATTCCTGAGGACATTCATCAATATATTCGTCGAGTTTGATTCTGAATGCGAAGTAAGTGTGAAGGTATAGACGTATAGACGTATAGACTCACAGAGTTGCTGAAATCTTTTCGACAGCCCAAGACCCCTTTTCGTCTTTCGTTGAGCTCGTCAGGTAGGCATACTCCCCAAGATCTACTTGAAACCAAATTGGACAGATTTTGACAAGTACACTCGTTCACATATCAATTTGGTTTCGACAGAAGATTCCCTTGGAGCCCAGTTGAATCTCTCGTTTATGATGTTTTCAAGCAACCGAATGTGCTGCACCAGGCCGCCTTATGTTTCAGTTGGCACGATATTCGAAGTATTGCCATACGTGTAACACACTAAACACAAGGTCGCTGAAAACTCTTTGACAGCCTGAACAGTATAAACGAGTGATTCAGTTGGGTTCCAGGTGAGTCTCCCTTCAAAATCAAAATGAAACACATGTGAGTAAAATTGTCAACATCCACTCATGGAATTACTTCAAGAGCCAATCAGCTGCCACCTTCTAACTCTCATTCCCGCCTACCGTTAGCAAACGGCATTTAATTAGCCATGCCGTGTGTAAACGCGTGAAAAATCCCGTGTTCCACAATCTTTGGAGTTCGTTCGCACTGCGCCAGATAAAATCGCACGCTCTTCAATTTTGACTCTACTTATTGCGGATTTCAGTAGCTATCACTAAGAGGACGAAGAGTTTTCAGCAACCTTGTGAGCAGTTTCCTTTATGAAAAGGACTTAAAAGAAACATGCTGAATGATTGCTTTGTCAGGAACAGTAATGCTGACAACGTTTCCGAAAGATATTATAATCTAGCAAAGATCGAATCACATGCTTTCTAAATGTTCAGAAACAACCCATCTACCGAAGGAATTTTGCGTAAGACAGCGACGGAGAGTGATATCCCCAGATGCTATTTACAAACCGATACTGGAATGGATGATTGCCTTACTTCCGATGAAAAAAAGGAACGAATTTTACAATTCTGACAAAGTATAGTCTCATTCCGAGCAAGGAATCCAAAAAAACTGCTTCGCATCAGGAGAGACGTCCCTTAGATGTTACCACCCATGCGTGAGAATTCATGTGATTTGCTTGTTCCTCATAGAACCTGCTGCGGTTTTCTCAACTTCACACGGGACACGCGAGCAATGAGTCTCCCCCTTGCGGCATTAGCATCACCACTGGGGTGACCACTTATCGTTCCACCTGTACACGACCGGATGACAATGTCACGTCGAACGGCGATAAAGCGGTTGCGAACAGCTCAACTGCAAGCTAATCACAAGCGCCTTTCTCATAGAAGTTAGTCGCGCGAGGAGGCAAGCAACACTTCCTGAATCGTAGATGATGACTGCTGCGGTTCCCTTAGTTCCGGAACTTTGAGCGACGCGTAGGTTTGACAATCCCGAATACCAAAAGAAAGAATCGGGTTCGAAATTCCAAACAAGGGCAAGCAAATGTGTACAACAAACCCCAATTGCTCACGTTCGTAGAGTCTACAAGTTCACAAGCCAGTCACTGATCCAAGTCCGCAAACCAAACAACAGCGGGCCGAATGTTGGCTCAGTCGTGTGGGTCGCTGTCGTCCCTTCCGACGACAGTCTTCTTCGGCGCTGTGATCACGCGGAACTCATGAGAAAAGGCAGGCTCAGCAAACGGGCTACGAACGCGCATGGGTAAACTGGGTCAGCTGCACACGCTCACATATACAGACGCACATGCCAATACACAAGTGTCGGACGGGACGGTCAACTGGAGATTGAAATGGAGAAATCAGCAGAAGCTCGATGGCATTGTACTGAAGTTACCCCTGATGTCAAGCGGCTGCCCACGGTCGAATGACATAACCTTCAGCTGGATGTTTATTGTACAAATCTGCTTGATTTTTCGTCGCGGATTAGCCACGGAATGAAATTAGAGCTTACGAAGATTTGATGACACGTAAAACTTGAAGTGCATATGCGAGTATTGACAGAAGTAAAATGTCAAATTTCTTCCTCGTCATTTCTAAATGAGGCGACATTCAACTGAATAGGTCACTATGACAACATTGTTTTTTGTTTGAACGTGTCAAAATGAGAAATCTAATTGAGGCGAAAGGCCATATGCATTTTCCCTAGGGTTCGTTACTTGATTTCCGGTTTTGAAGGCATCCACGCACCTTTTCTATCTCTCTGTATGTCCCCAAGTATGTATGTACAAGATTGCACGTTCTCACTAAATTCTTTGTCATTCGAGATCACCAGAACATTCGCGATGCACGCTCGGCAAATCGTCCAGAACCGTTGCGAATTCCGTTTTTTTATCAACCCTAAAATAGAAAACAAAGTGAAGTTATTAAACCCAAGAACCAACGATGGACAGTTTACAGTGTGTACTTCACGAGAATCTGCAAGAATGGGCGCGGAATGTGGAATGAGAAGAAGCAGAAGTATGGTGCTGATGAATATTCCCTCGCCATAATCTCAGCTCTTCGGGCAATCGGTTGTGATGTCGACTTTTTGGTTCGCCAACCGATGATCATTTCTTATCGAGGAATCTACTTTCCTCAATCAACCAAGGCTATTATTGGACTGGGACTCCCTAAGGGTACAGTAAATGACTTGTGTTTACTTGCCACTGTGGGCTTTCTGCGTACTTACGACATTTTTATGTGTTGTACATAGCGCTGAGTGTACATTCTTGCCATTGAATCTCTGTCTTTTCCTCGGTTGTTTGTCTTTACACACGTCCTTCCATACCAAGCACTTTTACATACGTTCTGTCTGAGTGGAATCGCCTAGTGGCATAACTTTGAATGAGATACCTTTTCTCTCTTTTCTCTCATATTCTCCTGTTACTCTTTCGCATTCATCGCTTGCACTCACTTTTTATGTTTGTGACCATGCTCTTCAAAAATAAACGATAATATATACACAATCACACACCGAGTGGCCGATTGGCTGAAGCAAAATATTTTGTGTCCATCTCAGCAAAATCAGCGAAATGTACCATGGACCTTACTGACGTTTCTAACGGACAAATGAACGTCTCACTTGCAACTGGCATACCGGTGGCTTTTTAAAACCTTGTCACCGATATGGCGTACTCTGGAGCTACAATGGTACGATTTTTTAGTAAGTTCTCTTTTCGCTAATTTTAGTGAGGGTGCACTTCATCAGTTCCCAGATCGTTTTCATGCAACCAGGTGTTCCTTTCTATTCAATGTGAAACCAAGAATTCAGCCACACTTGAAAGACATCCCATCTCTGAAACTCAGTTTGTTTCCTAGTTTTCCTCGTAAATGAGGATTGGCAAGGTCATATACTCCTGATACCCTTTTGCATTCGTCGCCTGCATTCATCTATTGTGTTTGTGACCATGCTCTTCAAAAATAAAAACAATAAATAAATAAATAAATGTTTGGATACTTCCCAGCCCAAAAAAATTGATAAAATCACGGATATCTTCATAGCAGTGGTTGTCTAATTCCTCGACGGAGAGCAATAAATTACCGGAACGGATTGCATTCTGATACAAGTACCCGTAAGGCTCTCAGATAGGACTGGGAGACTTGGACGCAACCAAATGGCCGAAGACAACGGGATTTGACTACGTCAATGAGGTAGAAGAGGTGGCGCACGAACGGACATCTTCATTTATTAGAGGCTCGTTCAACGCAGAAGACACGTCGCAGTCCCCCGATCGATGGTATCCGTGTGGAAAGTGAACTTTTTGGGGGGGCAACTCGCTTATCAGTAGTAGATCCTCCTCATCCTCGTAATCTAAATCCTACCGCAAAGATAATTCATTCCCAGCTGACTGATATTGATAACGGATGTTGTAGTGGGAAGTTCGCCGCCCTCATCACCCAAAATTAGAATTTCCAAACCAGGTTGTTGTGGGAATGGTTTCCTGAACAGTCACCGGAATCAGGCCCGTTGGGATAATTTAGAGAGAAAATGTCTTTCAGATATCGTTCGTGGCTAGTTCATGAATGACATTCAACAGTGGTCGATTCTTGGTACATCACACTTCCTGGAACGAACGAAACGATCCTAAGGTCTGTATGGCACTGAGGGAGTCATTGGCTAGCAAGAATGTATTGATCGTCCTCAAGGACGAATATTATCCTCCGAAATAACACTCGCCTGCTCTTGGAAGGGGCTTCACTGAAAGGGTATCACCGTATAGATGTGCTTGTTTAGTTTCGTCCACAATGACGATAGCACCAGGCGCATTCTTGAAGCTTTTTTTCGGACTTCAGTGAACTCTTTTTCATGTATTTGAGGTCAGTGTGTACCAAAACTCGGGAAGCCCTGGAGAAATAATCTGCAAGAGACTCAATGGATTTCGAAACTACGGTGTCCCAGTTTAGAAGTTTACGGAGCGGCTGATCACCAATGAGATCAACTCACACCTGGACAGTCTAAAGAACCAATCGTTCTTTGGTCACAGAATCCAACCACTCAATGCATATTCGAGTGACAACCTTTCAAACCCATGGTTCACGTGACTTGTGAATTGTTTGTGTTTCGGATTCGCGACGCCCCACATCTTGCAATCAGCTCCAAACACGCTCTTACACCGGAGTAAAGTACGTCTCTCTGACCTCCACTTTTACCATGGTGTGTTTAACTTTGGATTTGGACGCCCACGCAGAAACGGACAACCACTTCGTTCACCTCAAATTCGTCGAGGAATGGAATTTTACGTTTTCTTGTAAGGAACAAATCGCCAGTCAATCTGTCTGTTTACAGCTAGGCTTCCAAAAATAACTCTGTTTTCAATGAAAACATTGCTTTTTTCCCCTCAGTTGTGAACGTGACACACAAAATTGGTTTTAAAAGTGCACCTGCCAAAAACACGTCCATAGGGATTCGTTGATTTGTATGATGAATCAAATTCACAAAGCTACCAAAATTTGAATTCCGTTTTTAATGCGACCATTTTGGTTATGGTCTTATGGCTTCTGCACACTGAACACGCTGGTTCTTTTACATTATAAGGCATACATTTATTACTTATCCTTACATAATATTCACAATTTCAACTGTCATTCCAGTCTCAGTTTGCGTGAAGTGTGTCGTGGACTATACCACACACTGATGAGCCCCAACAAGGGCATAACCACTCGTGCACTGCCAAATAGTACTTTTGGCAAACTTATGAGTAGTTTCGTTCAGGAAGATTTATCATCCGCCAGATTTTTTTACATCATATTGACCTCTGGTGGTCTGACTGCATATTTTCAACTAGAAATCGCTAGCGTATTAGAGGGCTCGCACTTCCCAAAAAGTAATTTGTCATTCAACACCTCCTCGAGATGTTAACTCCCTGCGGAAATTCGTTATCGTGTTGGTGACTTGTTTTTTTTTCACGGGCAGCTGCTCGAACCCATTCATTCGTTATCGTGTTGGTGACTTGTTTTTTTTTCACGGGCAGCTGCTCGGAACCCATTCAACCCAGAGAGCCTTTCAAACTTGCTAGCTTTCCTGTTGCTGGCGATTTACGTTCTACCGCGAAGCGTTAGTCCAAATATCGGCATCAGTCCGTGCTTTGTACTCACATTTTTGTTTACCAAAAGCTTCGCTTGGTTTCTGATTTCTCATTCACACTCATGAATAATTGATTCCAAAACACCTGCCTACCTTGTCCCTCACCTGCCCACAACAAAACGCACAACGGAATGGCTTTCCTTCGTGACAAAAAAAATCTAGAATTCAATCTCGAAAATGTCATTAACGAATGACAGCCATTAAAATAACATTTTGGAGATTTGACATGCTTTTTTCACACACATTCGCAATCAACATTTTCCTCTCAAATTTACTAGGCGGTGACCTGCTCGGATCCTCGCTTCTTCGATCAGACTATGATTCGCTGTCATTGTGCGCGATGTAAGCGTCCCTGGGTCACACGCTCTCTGCCGGTCTGACAAGGCAAACCCACCGTAGATCTTCCTGTAACTAGCTGAATATCTGACGAAGCGACATTTATGGCATCCGTTCAGTGCGCGGCTGACCCGCCACTTGATGAAACTATAAGGCCTGGAGTTACGCAAGCCTAGGCAGGGTTCAAGTAGAACATAAGGTTGATGGAAACTCGGGGACTCCGCCTACCTGATGAGCCCCAAGAAGGGCAAAACCAGTCGTGGGCTGTCGAAGAGCTTCCAGCAACCTTGTGAGTAGTTTCTCTCATGGTAACACCCCATTCATTTACTCACCCCGACCATGTGCGTGTGATGTTCCATTGTTTCGCCTGTCCGTATCCACCAATCACCTTGCAGCAAAGGTTGCCCGACCGGCATCGGTGTATGTGTGTGTGTGTGTGTGTGTGAATGTGTCTGGTAGACTTGCTTACTCATGCGTGTTTGTGCCCTGAATTGCTCACTCGTGATTTCCGCGCCACCAAACAGAAACTTCAAACTGGCCTCAAAACAGACGATCACAACCCACACTGGCGAGCCGGCATTCTGCGGTGCGTCGGTCAATGCCAAATTTGTTGATGTCATGAATGTGTACAGTTCAGGTGTGTTATGCACTTGTAAGCATTACCAGAGATTAATCACCAAGGTTGAGTTTGAACCAGGAACCGATTGGTAAGTTCGCTTCTCGACCAATAAGCCATCTCGTCACGTGACAGCGCATTCCAATGAGTCACAGTAGTTATGTGGTGAACTCAAGTAAGACTTTTACTTGTGTAAATTGAATAGTCCTATAGTCACATTTGCAGACTAATTTGCTTTTGCGAGACTTACCTGGAACCCAGCTGAACCTCTCGTTTGTGATGTATCCAGGCAACTGAATGTGCTGCACCAAGCCACCTCATGTTTCAGTTGGGACGATACTAGAGATATCACGATCTATATTTTTGTAATTCACCACTCACAAGGTTGCTGATTTCGTTGCTAATTTCGTGCACCTTGGTTTCAAGTAGAACATAAGGTTGACAGAAACCCGGGGACTGCGCCCCATGAAGAGTGAAATCGGTCGTGGGCTGTCGACGAATTTTCAGCAACCTTATGAGTAGTGCATATTCGGTTTTGACTACCTTGCACACATCTACTTCACATTGGAAAGCCATAGAAAATTTTTTTAAAGAAAGACAAAACACAATGTTGCTAATGCGGAAGAAACTTCGTCACTCACATAAGTTTCTTGGTAGGTTAAAAGAATGGATTTTCACTGTGACGTGTTCTTTGACAGCGTTCTGAGTAGTCGGAATACTTAATTTGGTTTAACTGCATACAAAAATTTTCCCACAGTTAAGGCAGTGAATGCAGTATTGTTCGTGAGACATTCGATTGTTTGCAGACTAAGAACAGGGCTC